TTTAAAAAGTTACAAGCTTCCGGGAATTGGCTCCAAGGTGCCAAATTTTGAGAAAGTGAAGCGGACGCCGGCCACCCCACAAGACGGAGAAACCGCTTTTTTGAAACAACCATGCCAGGGCTCTTTTCGGGGGCTTCAGGCGCCGCCAGGGTTAAGGCAAGCGCCCCGCAAGGGTTGTTGACCAGTAGTCGGCATGCAGTGAGAGCGCGCGGCCCAGCCCGGCGGGGATAGATCCGGCGGCCGTGATTAGTCCTTCATCATATTCAGTTGCGTGTCCAGGCGTGGCCATCCCCCGGCGCACTTGGGGGAGCTTTGAATTTTATCTTGTAAAAACGGTTTTCTTTCTCCCAATACGCCATACCCCCCCCCCAAATCTTGACATTACCCGGGTATGTAGAATAGATAGAATGATAGGGTAAGCCCACGTCCCCGGAAGAGCAGCGAACTTTGAACCCCGGAAAGCTCCCTAGAGCTCTACTTCTGAACACAACCCCTACTTCTGCCGCGCGCAGCGTTCACCGCCAATGATAATGCAGGAGGGGGTCGAACCAACATGTACCGAGTCGCAGCCAGGACCGTGTGCTTTGTGGCGGGGCTGGCAATGCTGTTGTTGGTCACCGAAGGAGGGTCGGCAGGCAGAACCCAATTACGCCCCACCGCAATCGCCCCACGCAACCGCCCCACCGCAACGCGGAGCCCGTACGCTTGCAACAGCTCGCTCGACTTTGGACCCGTCGAGAAAGCCGACTCGATAGGCCTGTGCATGGACGACACGACATTCAGCACCTGTCAGCTGCACCAGCACTGATTGTAAGCTTTAGGGGAGGATAGCCGACGTCTCCCGGTGAGACGATGGAGAGCATTATCGTTCAACGTAGAAATTTATTTCTGTAGTGTCACTCACTCCCAAGATTAATTCTCGCGCACGACGTTACTCTTGGCCGAGGAGACCGCTCTGCCCACCCACCCACACCACAAATGACCGATTTGAGTTTTGGGACGGCCGTACTTTGCGCTCGGCTGGCGCGTCGTGGTGCCCTTCTCCTGCGGCCCGCCATGAGTGAGCGGCACCATTCGCCATCGCAGCGAGCAGCACCCCACTCGCCGCAGCAGCCGGAGGCATTGCCGCAGCACTGTCTGCGCCGCAGTCCCGCACCCGTCGACGAAGCTCCCCCCTCTCTCTCTCTCTCTTGGTGTGACTAAATTCTTTCCCCGTGCCCAGGGTGGGATGAAAATTCTTTTGAAAGGACTGTCCCCCACTCGTTCTTTTGCAAAGGACTGTCCCCCTCGACCATCCATGGCAGGCATCACGGTCGGCGGCGCGCATCCGCTCTCTCTCACGTCGTGGGAGGCCGAGGCGAAGAATCCGGCCTCTCCTCCTCCACCACTCCAGTCCTCGATTGAATGGCGCGCTTGCACTTTCGCCGCCACAAGTCGACGCATCTCCACTGCTTTCGCGGACTCTTAGGTGCGTCGACTCGTGCAACGCGGCGATAGAATTCCTGTTTGGGATTCCGGCAAAGTGCCTGTTGGCGAGCCCCTTCACGTACGCCCCCTTGAAGGAGAAAGAAGAGGTGTCTGCCGTGAAGCCGGCGGTGCCAAAAGTGGCAAAACCAGGTAAGGGGTTCATCAAGCGGCAGAGGACGGTGCGCCTATGTTACTCCACACCAGCTGGTCTGATCCTTCTCCGCCCAGTCGTATCGTTGCTCAGGTCCACTCTCTCTTCGAACACTGGCACTAACACAGGTACACCCCGGGAAGCCGCACGAAAAGAATTTCACCGCGCCAAGTGCTCCTAGTGCCCCTCATCGACCCAATACCGGTCGCTATTCCTCGCCATTAGGCAAATGGCCTGCTGCTGACTGCGCTCGACGCCTAGAGCGGCCCCGCGTTCCTCGCGGCTCACATAGAGGCACTGCGTCGGTCCCCGGCCAGCTGATTGCATACTTATCTCCGCGTGGGCAGCTCCTGGCTGGCATGCGCGCCCTCGCGCCGACAAGGCCCCGTGCGCACCCCAGGCTCCGTGACCGGGCGTGGCTCACAGGGCGCAGAGATTGTGTGGTGCTCTGGTGCTCTATCTGGTGCCGCGCTGCTATTGCTCAGCTATGCTCGCGCACCCCTCACTGGCCTCGCGTCTGTACATCTCGTGATCAACTTGGCGGCTGCCGTGAGGAGGGCAGCAGGTGCGCGGCACAACGCTCATAGTTTAGTACGGATTGTAGCTTGAGTCTCTCCAGTGCACCAGGAAGAAGGCAGGACGAGTGTGGTTGTTTCACTGTACGTCTGTGTGATCTGACATCTGTGAAGGTCCGCCCGGAGTTGGCTCACTGTTGTCTGTTATAGGCATCGTATGATTGATCCCCCCCTAGGGTATGGGAGGACCACGGCGGCACGCCGCCACCCCACAGGGATTTCACACGGAGTGAACCAGCGGAGTCCGCTCACCCCGATATTTTTATTAGTGGGGGAACGGGAAATGGTGATTTTTGAATGAACGCCTCGGGCCCTCGCGCAAAACCACCGCTACCATGCCACAGAAGACCCTTGTGGAGGAGGGTAGGACTCTGACCTGTTCCGACCCTGATCCGACCTCTCTCGAACACCGACCTGATCCGACCGTGTTCACTTCGAACACGGTCGGATCAGGGTCGGACCAGAGTCGGAACAAGGTCGGCGTAGGTCGGGAAAATCCACCTCCCTCCCGCCGCCGCTGACCCACCCTGTTCGAGCACGGTCGGATCAGGTCGGATCACGGTCGGAACAGAGTCGGATCATGCTGTGCCCGTCCGTGCGGTCGGATCATGGTATGATCCAACCCTGTTCGAACGCTGCCGAACACGGTCGGATCACGGTCGAACACAGGTACGGATCAAGGTCGGGAAAAAGGGCCGCACGTGGGGCAGCTCATGTGTTCCGACCCTCATTCAACCCTGTTCCGACCGTGTTCGAACGCTGCCGAACACGGTCGGATCAGGGTCGGACCAGAGTCGGAACAAGGTCGGGAAAAAGGACCGTACGTGGGGCAGCTCATCTGTTCCGACCCTGATCCAACCCTGTTCCGACCTTTGTTCAAACCTAACAGGGTCGGATCAGGTCGTTCACATAAGGTCGGATCAGGGTCGGATCAGGGTCGGAACAGGTCAGAGTGCTACCCTCCTTTGTGGGCTATCCAGAACACCTAAGATCATGCCTAGCTCTAAAGTGGGCCCGAGATACGCCAGCTAAACCCCGGATTTTTTCCGGCAGCGCCAGCGGGCCACGCATGGCCGGCTACCCAAGCGGAGACACGGGAAGGCTGCCGCAAGCCGTCGCCCGTCGGTCGGGGAGAGGGGGGACGACACTGACTGCCTCGGCAGCGTGCACCTCGATCCTGTACCGTGTTTGTTATGCCCCCCCCCAATGAACACACCAGTGAGGGAGGGCGAGACGATCGAGGGGTCCCGTACCATGCGGAATCGACCCTATCAAGTGCTCAAGTGCTCTCCCCCCCGGGGTCAAGTGGTGCTGGGCGTTCACGCGGAGGGAAGGCCCCCAAAAGGGTCTTGCGCGATGCACATGTCCTCTTCGCGCAACGTCCTCTCCATCGTCGTCGATCGAGAGCTTTCCGGCAACGCGCGTGGCCTGCGCTCGCTCCCCCCTCGCTTCCTCGCCGGCATCGACGCAGGCGGCGGCCCGCGTGACCGAGCCGCCGTCGCCGCCTCTCGAGGACACGTTGGCACTGGCGAGCTATTGCTTCAGCTTGACTCGGAGATGCCTGCTCCCGCCGAGCTACGCAAGCTGATCGCTGACCTGAGCGCGCGGCTGGGCGAGTCGGCGAGCCAGCGCGAGGTCTTTCTCTGCTGCGGCGGAGACGCGATCATTTCCCGCGTCCTCCTGCGGCTGTGCAGGAGGGAGGCGGGGCGGCCGTCCGCTCGCCTGCCCGAGGGCGCTCCTCTGGACGTGATTAACGAGTGCACCCAGATCCTCGCCGAGCTCGCCATGCTCGACCTCCAGCACGCCGAGGCGCTCGCGTCGCGCCACGAGCTCATCGGCACGCTCTTCCTGCTGATGGCGGAGCCGCAGGCGGCGGACGCGGCGCTCGCCCTTTCCATGACAGGTACACGACATGTCCGGGACATGTCCCGCAGGCGGTGGACGCGGCGCTCACCCTCGCGCAGGAGCTCCTCTCCGCGGGACAGGACGTCTTCCCGCTCACCGCGGTGCCCGACCTGCCGGGCCTCATCGGCCGCCTCTCGCCCCGAGGCCTCGCGGCTCGGGCGCCGAGGAACCCTCTCGGGACCTTCTCGGGACCTCCCTGGAGCGTTCCCGTAGGCCTCGCTCTCGTCTCGCGCGCCCTCGCAGTGCTACTCGCGAAGTCGGCTGAGCAGGGCTAGGGCGGTTAGAAAGCCGGACACGTATTCTAGAAGGTTCCTAAAGGGCCCTAGAGCAGGGCTAGGGCGGCTAGAAGCCGGACACGGGTTCTTGTAGTCCGACCAGCGCTCGAGAGGACACGCACTCGACCGTATGCGGCCGTATTCTGCGGGACTCGCTGGACCCGTCGCCCCTCGTATTCACGCGGCGCTCTGAATACACTGCGCATCGCCATCTTCCCCGAGGTGGGTGTACAGCTGTGTGCTCCCGCCCCGAGGTTGGTCAATTCCGCGTGTAGGTCTGGACGCCTTTCCCGCGCCAGAGTGCGTGGAGCCCGACTTGTGCGTCGTGTGCGCAAACAACGCCGCGCTCCTGGCGCTGCCCTCCTTCCTCGCCCGCGTCGTCGCGCTGCTGCGGCTGCGCACTCCGCCCGCGGGGGTGTGGGGCCACATCCTCGGCCCGGGGGGAGCGCTTGCGCAGGGGGGGGGGGAGGGCGAGGGGGAGGGCGAGTGGGGGACCCTCTCCGAGGCGCCGCTGCCGCACGCCCTCGTCATCCTCGCGCCCCACCAGCTGCCGGACGCGCTGCACGACATCCTCGCCGGCGCTGTCGCCGCCGCCGCCGCCGCCGGCGGCGGCGGCCCGGGCGGCGGAGGCGGCGGCGCCGCGGCCTTTGTCGGATTGGGCGGCGGGGCGGTGCACGGCTCGCTGCCGCTCGCGTCGCTGCAGACAGCGCTGTGGGTGACGCTGCAGGCCACCTGCTCCTCCCCTACCCCCACGGGCACCCTCCCCTACCCCCACGGGCCCCGAACCCACCCTCCGCTACCCGAACGGTACCCAAACTCTTCTTCCCC